TCTTTGGAACCACCATTGTTTCTCCTTGATCATATTTCTTTGTTCCTCAAACCTCCTGTTCCTCTCATAATTGTGATCACATTTAGAGTTGACTCATATAATTAAAATAATCTCCTCTCTGTGTCTGTAAATTAATCATTTATTCCAAATCTTTGCCATGTAAAATAGTGTGCACAGGCTTCAATGGTTAGGATATGAATATATTTGTATGGAGATTAGAGAGATAACTCAGCCTACCACATAGACTATTGCTGCCTACAAGTGCTCATCAGATATAACCTTATTTCTTTTATATTATTTGAAGGAATTTTATTTTTTAATGCTTTTATTGTGCATTGTGGTTATACATAATATTGGGATTTGTTTTGACATAACAGAGATGCATGGAATGTACTTTGCTCCACTTTAGTCCTGATAATTCTTTTCCTACTCTCCTCTCTCACGCTGTTCCATTTTCTATACTCTGCTGGTCTTCCTTCTACTTATTTATAGTTTTTTAAAATTAGTTTTTTATGGATATGCACAAAGGTTAAACTGATGGTGGTATGTTTATATATATACATACATGATTCATACAATTTCATTCCATTTATTTTCTCTTCAGTTCTTCCTCCTTACCTATTCCTTCAATCCCCTTCCTGAAGTTCACTCATCTCCCTTCTATTTTGACAAGATTTTTCCATCATATTCTCCCTTTTTACCTTATTTTGATCTATCTTCTTCATAAGAGATAAAACATTCGATGCTTGACTTTCTGAGTATGGCTTATTTCACTCAGGAAAATGTTCTGTGTTTTTCTGTAAATAAAATTCAGGGTGCACTTTTTTTTCTGTTTTCTTTCTACCCTTTATTTGTTAATTCATTGTTTTCTGGCTTGTATAATATTCAGAAATCTGCTTCAGTTTTGCTTTTGTTACTCTTTTGTGTGTGCGTTTTTTCTGTGTATGTATTTTTATTTATTCATTTATTTTATCTTTCATGTCTTTTTTCACTATTTTTATTTTTATTTTTAGACATAACATAATGATTAATTTTGATATAATTGTAAAAGGATGGAATTTAAACTGTTCTAATTCAGTCCCCAGTACTTTCCCTTTCTCTCCCTCTTCCCTCCTCTTGTTTCTTTCCTTCTACTCTTTCTGCTTTTTATTTAGAGATTTTTTTTAAATTTAGTGTATTGTGGATATACATGATGGTGAGATTCACTATGGTATATTCATATATGTATATAGGAAAGTTAGGTCAGATTCTTTCCACTATCATTCCTTATCCTATCTCTCCTCCATTCATTTCATTCCCCTTTGTCTACTCTGCTGATCTTTCTTCTACTTTTTTTTTTTTTTTTTTTACTGTAATCCCCTCCTTCGAATTAACTTCCACATATCAGAGAAAATATTTGAGCTTTGACTTTTGGGGACTAGCTTATTTTACTTAGCATGATAGTTTCCAGTTCTATCCATTTACCAGCAAAAGCTATAATACTCCATTGTGAGTAACAATCTATTGTGTGTGTGTGTGTCTGTGTGCGTATATGTGTATACCACATTTTCTTTATTCATCTGTTGAAAAGCTCTATAGCTTGACTATTGTGAATTGTGCTGTTATAAACAATGATGTGGCTGAGCCACTGTAGTATGTTCATTTTAAATCTTTTTGATATATACTGAGAAGTGGGATAGCTGGGTCACGTGGTAGTGTCATTTCTAATTTTTGAGGAACCTCCATACCGCTTTCCAGAGTGGTTGCACTAAATTGCAGTCCCACCAACAATGTATGAGTGTAACTTTTTCCCCGCCTCTCCAATATTTATTGCTACTTATACTCTTAACAATTGACATTCTGGCTAGACTGAAACGTTTCTTTATTTTTAATATATCTATTCTTGCTGACATGAATAATTTTACTCAATTTTTTTTTTGCTATTTTAAATTAAATTCTTATCTACTCGTGTATGCTCCAAATGAGAAACCTTTCTTTGGAGTGCTGGATTTTACACTTCAGTCTAGTTCATTACCAAATGACCATAAATTCATGAAAGTTGTGAATTTGCAGATTTTCTGTTGTTGCTGTTACAAGGAGCAGAAAATGCCTTTTTTCCATTTGTATAACTCCTAAGGGAAAAAAAAATAAAATCATTTTTGCTTTTTATATTTAAGGAGATTAGGCATTTTAAATATATTTTGTTTTTAATAAATTAAAAATTATTATAATTATATTAATAATTATTTATTATTAAGTATACCTAAATACACAGAGGTTCTAGCACTATTATTAAAAAGGACTTTCTCTATATTTTTTTAGCTGGCTAATTTGTCAATCTTGTTTGGCTATATATGTGAGATTCTATTTACAACTATCTGTTCTTTTCTATTGATTAATATTATTTTACTCATGAAAATATTACATTCTTCAAAATAACTTTTTAGTAATTGATTAAAATCACTTTTTATGTAATTATTGGATCAGTAGTATAATTTTTCTATTGATTTTTTTTTTAAAAAAATGATTGTATGCATTTTCTAGCTGAGTTTAACATTTATTTAAAAATATTCCAGTTACTTGAAGTTTTAAATTCAAATTGAAATTCATATATTAGGGTAATTGAATTTTCAAATGAATATTGAAATTAGCTTGACAATGCATAAAACATTTTCTGCTGAGATTGTTTTTTGGGTTTATATTCAATCTGTAGACTGTGTGGGAGAGAGTGGATATCCTAGAATTAGTAATTCTCCTGATCTGTTAATTTAATATGTCTATATTCATAAAGTTTTATCTAAGTGCCAAACTTTCTTTAGTGTTTTAGTTTTATATTATTATAAATGATATATAAAATATTATTCTAAATTTTTTGCTAATATAAAATTCAGTTGGTTCTTATATAGCAATCTTGTATTCTGCAACCACAATGAACATATTCGCTCTTTATTGTCTTTTTGTGGAACCATTATGGACTTTCACATGGCTGATCATGGCTCATACAAACAAATACAGTTTTACACTTTGCTTTCCAAACTATGTTTTATTTTGGATTATTTAGTTTTTATTGCACTGGATAAGACCTTACATAAGATTTTGAATAGAATAGTGAGAGGTCGACAATTTTCTTTATGTCAAATCTTATGGGAAAAGCCTTATATTTCTAGAGATTTCAAAGTTCCTTAGATATATATGATTTTTGTTTAATATGGATTTGTTTTTCCCTTATTATGAAGTAATCCACAACTTCATTATAGTTTTAAAACTATTTTTCTCTCTATTTTAATTTTTCATTTATTTTATTTCCCTATTTTTGCTATTCAACACATTTTGCTGCCATTTTATATGGTCTACAGAAACTCTGTTTATAATTGAATAAATTTCATAATTTTTCAATGCTCTTATTTGCATTCTTTTCAGTTTGGTTTATCTCTCAAATACATAGCCCGTCACCTACTATATCCAAATTTTCCTTACAATTTTAAGTTATTTACAGGAATTCCTTTATATTTTGTCTGCTACATAGGATTCAACTGTGATTCTTATTTCATTTAATTTCTCTTCATTTGTATGTCATGCATTTTTTAAATGTTCCAGTTTTATTTTTTTAAAGGACAAATATGTTGAAGCATATTATTGTTCTATTCTTCTTGGCATCTTTGATTATTTCTTGAGTTCAATCTCTACTCTCTGTGGTCAATAGACTTAGTATTATGCTTTCTAAGATTGATTTTAGCTCTGGCTGGGGCACACTTATAATTAAATTTCATTCAGATGGAGTTATTTGAACCTCCAAACCTAATGCTGCTTCCTCTTTACTAGTCTTTTTTTTTTTTAAAGAAAAACATATATCTTAAATTTCTTTACCTCTTCCTTCTTTCCCACTTTCCTCCATCATTCCCACCTCTCTTCTTTCCTTTTAAGTTTTTGTGGTACTAGGAATTGAACCCAGGGTACTCTAACACTAAGCTACACCCCCAGTCCTCATTATTTACTTTAAAAGTTTTGAGACAGTCACTTGCTAAATTGTCAAAACTGGTTACAAATCTTAACAGTAACAGTGGGAAATGGTTCACTTTTGATTTCTCTCTGCTTTTCAGCTTTTCCTCCTTGAATGCTTTCATAATAAATTTGAAGCTGATACCAAGGATGGATGAATATTGGGGTCAAGTAAGGTTTTTGTTTTGTTTTGTTTTCATATAATGATTTTTAGTTTTCCAGCTAGTCACAGCAACACAACAAAACAGAGATTCTTCTCAGTGTAAAGCCTTTTAAAAGTCACAACTAATAGAGGAGATAAAATTTGGTAAGCTATGAATAAAGTGATTTCTATAATTTTATACTGATATCAGTGTAATTTTTAGAGTGAAAACAGAGCTATTAATAAAATTTTTGGAAAATGAGTATGTACTCTTCAAGTCGTTCTAGACAAATTGAAATATAGTTTCAACTATCTCTAATTTTCTGCCTCCTGTTTGGAACTAATGTAAGCCCTCAGAAGGGACATTATAGGCCCTCCTTGCCTTGGCTCACATCACTGAATGAGGAAGCCCCTGCATCTTGCCATAGGACATTTTCAGAAGCAAAGAAAGGTTTCCAGCTGGTATAGTAGCTATGATTCATTCTGAAGACATTGACTTGCTTTATTGCTCTTGACAAGTAATTTAGAAACTCTAGACCTCAGTTTCCTTACAGGAAATATGTGACTGTGAAGTGAACTGACATATAAACTCTAGTAATTTATGAATAACTTGTATCCTATGTAGGGCATGAGTTTTTTTGAACTATAAAAGCATTCTATTTTGAAATTATCCATTGATCATTGATGTTTAGGTTTGAGCAACCCCTGTTTTCAAAAGTAAGTAAAATTTTAAAAAGAAAAACAATTCTTCGGGGGGGGGGGCGAACCCCACAATTTCCCAAGGAAGAAAAAAAAAGAAATAGAAAATCCAGCTTTTATTAAAATGATTAGTATTGAATATTCAAAATCATTTAATATTATGATTTCTTTTTTTTTTTCAAGTCAGACAGGTAATGTGCTGATGTTGATGATGTCGAGGGAGGCACATCTCACACAATAGCATGAACACCCAATCATCATGCTTTTGGAATTATTTAGGTGTGATATTTTTTCATTGATAACTTTTTAAATTTCCCTGGTATTATTGTAGTCATATGGAGTGACCAATTTATAAATTGTTATGTATTAATTTATTTCTTTTAAAAATATGACAATTTAAAAAATGTTAAAATATGCTTCATTATTTAATGAATGTTTTTATTATGGAGATTTATTTTTAAAGTTGACAGTTATTAATCATTAAAAATATAGTGTCACCTTTTAAGAGTCAAGTCAGTTCAAAAATGTTTGACTCTTATTGGATATATAAATAACATAACACTTTTTTTTGAATTGCCTTTTAATTCTCATAAATAATATTATGAAGTCAGTATTGTAATCCTCCTTTTAAATGTGCATAAATTAATATAAATTACCAAATTCATATTGCTAAATATTCCAAATATTTAAGATGGACACAAATCTGATCTATTTTCACCAGAAACTCAAAACTACTTTATGTACTTTCTCTAGGAGTCACACAAATGTAGAAAACTTAAGATTTTTCAACGGTTCATTTTAGAGTTAAGAAATGTGGCTATGACCTAGGGAGGTTAGAACTTTAGTTGAAGATTAAGCCATTACTAGTTACATTATTTAAAGAGAAAAGATAATTATTAATTTGTGTACTATTTCATATACATATGCTTTTTTAATTGTATCTATGCAAAGTAATTATATCTCTACTCTGATTGATAAAGAAAAGGATCAACGATAACTTAAACCAAGACCATATGTAGGCATATTGCAAATCTTCTGTATCGTTACTGAAATATTCCTTATTCACCTTCTCTCAATAACTATGAAGGAAAGTCATGATAAAGAGATCAGTATAGCTAGAATATATCATGTGGTTATTATTGTGATTATTTCAACAACTTAATCATGTAGAAAGATGAAATTCAAGCTATTACCAATCAAGTATATTACTATTTGATTAGCATAAGCCAGTATTAAATATTGTAGTGTACACAGTGAACTGTCCACAATTTCGTTTTTCATTTGGATTGCAATCCTAATGATTTATCCTGTATTCCTATTCCAGTTCTATATTTTCTTGATTTTCAGATTAAACCTATTCTCAGCTATTGACATATTTTTTTTCCAAATCTTTATTCCCATCATGTATTTATTTCCAAAGATAGATGTATTATCTTTAATCACACACACACACACACACACACACACACAAACACACACAAAAAAAACTTGGCATATTTGAGAATAAATTGTTTCCTTCTTTAAATATTTAGTCCTCTAGATCCCGCCCCCTCTCTTTTGTCACTGGCATCAAAATATAAGAGTTGTTTCTACTAATTAAGTTTTAATTTAATTTCCTTAATTTCCACTGATTAAGTTTCCACTAAAACTATAACTAGAAAATTTCTTATCTGACACTTCTCTTGTTACATAATCAGAAAGACTGAAGCAGTACATTTTAGACAAAACTTCTGAAACATCTGTCTTCCAAAAGACATTGCCTCTGCTGAAACTGATATCTACTCATCATTTCCTGAAAGCACGGTACAGAAACGTGACCATAAGATCTGGCAAAAACATGAATGTTCCTGCTTCTGAGGCAAGTAACCACAACACCATGAATCTAGGGGTGGCAGAACATCATTGTCTCTGCCAATATCTACACCAGCAAACAGATAACTAATGCACTTATCTCATTTTTTTTCTTTTCTTCACTTAATCCAATTTTGAGTGTAAGTTCTTGCATGAGTAAATCAGATTTGTAGATCTGATTAGTACTATCTAAATCATATTAAAAAATTTCAGTACGTGGGAAGCTAGAATATATAGTTTATAGCTTTCTGGGAGCCATGGCGGAGAAAAATACACTAATCAGAGTTTGGAACAAAAACTGAGTAAGCTAATCCATACAATTGCTATAGTTTGGATTCTTTTTAAAATTTTAATTTATTTATTTAGGTACTGGGGATTAGGTACTTTACCACAGAACCATGTCCATAATTCTTTATTATTATTATTATTATTAATTTTTGAGAGAGTTACTAAGTTACTGAAGGTCTCACTAAATTGCTGAAGCTGTAAGCATCCTCCTACTATAGCCTTCCAAGTCATTAGGAGTACAGTTGAGCACCACCAGGCCTTTCTTATAGTTTGGATCCTGAATGTACCCTAAAGGCCCATGTGCTGAAGGCTTAATTGGCAGCCTGTGATCCTATTTGAAGGTAATAGGAACTTTATGAGGTGGGGCCCATGAAAGGAAATTGGATCATGAGGGACATTCTAGGGATAATGGGATCCTGGCCCCTTACTTTCTGTTTGCTTCCCTGCTACACTGAGATGAGCAGCTACTCTGCCACACAATCCCTTCCATGAGGTATTATACCTCCACTAGGTACTATACCTCCACGAGGTACAGGGTCTAGAAACTATGGACTAAAACTTTAGAAACCATGAGCTAAAATAAACCTTCCTCCTTATAGGTTACTTGTATCAAGTTTTTATTATAGCAGTAAGAATTTGACTAACTTTAAGTTTCTCTTTTTCAGTGTTAGAATCCATTATGACTGCTTTCTCTCCTTGCTATATTCTTTTGCCCTACAAGACATTAAATTCTACACATTCCTCTCTTAATATATCTCACATCTGTCATTTTCTTTCATTTCTACTTCTCCTATTTAAGTTCTTTTGAAATTACTACAAATCATTACAGAAAATATCTATAGGTATTTCATAATCTAGAATTTCCTTCATAAATAATTCTATTTAAATACTACTCAATCAGTCTTGATAATTAGTTATTTTCAGGGAAATCCAATTCTCAGAATGACAGCCTGATTTCTATAAGCCTGACATAACTGATATATTATCTCATTCAAGAATTATTACCTAAGTCTGGCTAGAAATGACTGTTGCATTTTTGAACATTAAATCATAACTAACTAGTGCCTTTCCTATGGTATTTACTTGATTGTGCTTTAAATTTTACATAATTATTTAAGTAAGAGTGTGTGTGTGTGTGTGTGTGTGTGTGTGTGTATCTCCTCTAGCTCCTGAGGACTAGATCAAAAGAGCATCTAAAAGTCTACCTTGCACATCATATAACTTAAGATCTTTCTTGAATAAATGCATAAAGACCAAATAGGTACATGACATTGCATAAATAAATAGATAAATGACACTCAAAGAGATCATAAATACACATAGTCAGAAAACTCAAAATGTCTGATGTTGTAAACTACTCACAAGTTAACATTTCACCTTATCAGATTCTTGCACACACACACACACACACACACACACACACAAACACACACACACATGAACATGAGGCCCTGATGCTCCTGAATTAAAGACACAGATCATTTATTACTCTTGGCAGAAATAGAAGCCAGAGCAACATCTTGCATTGATTCTCTATATTCCAAAGTAATATATTTTTTACAAGCATTGTTTTCCCCCGGTTTGCACTTTATAGGACATTTGCTAAGATCCTGTCCAGTACTTGCTTTATCAGGCCCTGTTACACCTGGGTTACAAGACACCTACATGTAGTGCTCAGTTACCCCAGTATACTTTATTATCACAGATGGCCCTTTTTTCCTTGGGCCTAGAATTTCATATTTGAGTATTATCATCTTTAATTAACTATACCTGTGAAGAAATCTTGAAAGTTATCTATTTATCTTTTTATGATACACTCAAATTAAAGATAAAGTATCATAGAAGAGTAAGTATATGACATTCATAATCTTCCATTATCTCCCTATGATAGGAAACTCTTGAGACATAAAATCTGTAAAGGCTCTTATGCACATTAAACTTACTGGCTTCTGGATTAACTTGATGTTATTTTGTATATTTTATTACAAGATTATTTTATATGCTTTATTATTTTATATGCTTTATTACAAGATTATTTTATTAAGACACATATAGAAATTATGTTACCAGATAAATATGTTGAAATTTTCTATTTTGACAACTCTGTAATACTTATACAAATGAAATTAGATGTATTTTGAATATTTGTATTCTTCCCATCCAGGTCAGGAACCTCATGTGATACATCTTTCTAAATAATTTTCTATTTTCTATTCCATGTTTTCTCATAACTGCAAATATTTTAAATCGGCTATACTAGACTATATTCTTCCTTTCTTCTCTAATTAGTGGCTTGTGGTTTATGTCTAAAAATTCTAATTAGAATAAGATATACTCTATGTTTTTATAAATATATCTAAATAGACTCTTCTGTAACATATAAGTAAAAATAATGGATAGAAAATAATAAGGCAGTACATTACAGAGTTAAAGGCTTTGATTTTTTAAAGTAATGCTGAATTCAGTACACCTTCCCTTACTGGTCAACTCAAGTTGCTTTGACAGAGTACAATAGGGTGATTTTTTAAAAAGTAATTTATTTGTCACACCTCAAGAGAATGGAAACAGAAGATCAAGTTTACAGCAGACTTGGATCCTGGTAAGAGCCCTCTTTCTGGATTGCTGATAGACATTTCTCCCTCTATACATAACATATTAAGGGGAAATATAGAAATCTTTCGGTTCTTATAAGATCACTATCCTATCATGAAATACTCTCATGTCCTAATCTAAACCTAATTACCTCCCAGAGTCCCAATCGCCAAATGCCATCATATTGGAGGTTAGGGTACAAAATGTGAATTTCTTGGGGGTACATAAGCAGTCCACATTATTTCCTTAGTATTATCCATAAGTTACTTCAAAAAGTACAAAAACATAGCCTGGGCACAGTAATCGCGGCGGCTCTGGAGGCTGAAGCTGGAGGCTCATGAGTAAAAGCAAAGCACTAAGCAACTCAGCAAGACCCTATCTGTAAATAACAGATCTGGGGATTTTGCTTAGTGTTGGAGTGCCCCTGAGTTCAATCCCTGGTAACGACCCTCCCACACCCCACCTCCAAAAAAGTACAAAAATATATAGGAATATTAATCTAGTCATCTTTTTTGTTGTTGTGCCCTAAAGACATGACAAAAACAATTAA